AGGAAGGAAGAAAGAAAAGAAGGAAGAAAGGACGGAGACGAGAAAGGAAGGAAACAAGAAAGGAAAGAAATAATGATGTAATATTACATGCAGAAGAGATCATTCAAATTACATGCAGGCATCACCGTAGCAGTTGCGTACTGTTATTTATGTATATGTATATATACATATATATATATGCATTTATATACACACTTATATATTTATATTTAAATATATTTATATTATTTATATTTTCTGTTTATATTTTTATATACATAGTATTTCTATTTATGTTCAAATTCAAATATATATATATACTTACATATAGAAATATGTAAATATATACATATACTTATATTTATGCATGTATATATACACTTATATTTATATATATATATTTATGTATTTATATTTAGTTTTATATTTACATATTAATATATATATATTTATATTTATGTACTTATATATATACACATTCATATGTATATACATATAACTGTATATATATATAAATGAGTATGTATCTACAAGTATATATACTGTATTCCACATGTTTCCAGGGTGCATGTCGTGTAGTCTATACACCTTGAGTATCACATTCAAGCCAGCACCTTGCATGTGAAAATAGGTGTTTCCAATCTGCTTTGGGGGGGAGGCGCTGCGCCCTTCCCCTGAATCCCCCCCTCCCGCTTTTTTTAAACTATTTAAATAAAAAAGAAAGACACTTTTCAATACACTATATAGTTTGATTCGACTATATTCATATTTATGTTAAAATTTATGTGTATATATATATACATATATCTAGACATATATATATATAGACACACACATATATATGTATATATATGTATGTATATATTTGCATTTATATATGCACTTATATATATATGTACTTATATAAATGTATATATATATATATATATATAAATTAATATGTATATACATATCCATGTAAATATTTATATAATTGTGTATCTCTCAGTATATATATTTACATAAATATATATATATATATATTTACATAAATATATATATAAATGTAAATATAGATATATATATTTATATAACACATACATATTTACTTATAGATATACAGACGTATATATATATATATACATATGACATATTTGTGGTTGTTTTTATACACAGCTTTGATCCCAAAATAAACTACAAATAATCACGTAATTATACCTACATGTTGTATCCCTAAACCCTAAACCAAACCCTGCATATACATACATACATGCATACATACATACATACCTACCTACATACACCTTGAGTATCGCATTCAACCCAGCACCTTGCATGTGAAAATAGGTGTTTCCAATCTGCTTTGGGGGGGAGGCGCGGCGCCCTCCCCCCCAATCCCCCTCTCCCGCTTTTTTTTTAATTATTTAAATTCAAAACTTGCACACTTTTCAATTACTAGTTTGATTCTTTTATATTAATATTTATGTTTATATATATATATATCTAGACATATATATACATAGACACACATATATATATATATATCTAATGTATGTATGTATGTAATGTAATGTAATGTAATGTAATGTAATGTAATGTAATGTATGTATGTATGTATGTATATCTTTGCATTTATATATACACATATATATATTTATGTACTTATATAAATGTATATATATATATATAAATACATATGAATATGTATATACATATCAATGTGTATATATTTATATAATTATGTCTCTATCAGTATATATATATATATGTTTATTTAGAAATACACATACATATTTACTTATAGATAGATAGACGTATATATATATATGACATATTTGTGGTTGTTTTTATACACAGCTTTGATCCCAAAATATACTACAAATAATCACGTAATTATACCTACATGTTGTATCCCTAAACCCTAAACCAAACCCTGCATATACATACGTGCATACATACATACCTACCTACATACATAGATAGATAGATAGATATATATATATATATACATATGTATATAGATTGATTGATTGATTGATTGATTGAAGAAAACCATAGAAAACTTCCATCTCCAGACATGCTGTCGCGTCGCATGTATGAGCATCGCGTTATGGAGCAGCTTGCTTGCTGGGACTCGACCCTTTATTCGGTATCTGTTGGGATCTCAAGAGAGTTCTCCAGACGTGTGATCGCCTCGCATGTATGAGCATTGCGTTATGGAGCACCTTGCTGGGACTCTCCCTCTGAGTCGGTATCCCAAGAGTAGTTGTGATTTAATATGCGCTGGTATCTGTTGGGATCTCAAGAGAGTTCTCCAGACGTGTGATCGCCTCGCATGTATGAGCATTGCGTTATGGAGCACCTTAATGGGACTCTTCGTCTGAGTCGGTATCCCAAGAGTAGTTGTGATTTAATATGCATTGGTATCTGTTGTCTGCTGACAGTCGACCTTTTCTTCGACATCTGACCCTCCCTCCCCTGTCTCCAGACACGTACGAGTCACTTGTATTAGCATACCTCGGAATTTTCTTGTTTGATACGGACCACCTGGATATTGCGGACAGATCGGCAATCGACATCTGACCCTCCCTCCCCTGTCTCCAGACACGTACGAGTCTCACTTGTATTAGCATACCTCGGAATTTATTTTTTTTTGATGCAATTTTTTTTTTTGATGCGTGTACCACGTTGAAATCTTGGACAGTTCCATAGAAGTCCAGGGGAATATTTTTTTTTGATGCAAATCAATTTTTATTTTGATACTTATGGGGATAATTTTTTTTGATGCGTTTTTTTTTTTGATCCTTCACCCGGGATCACAGTGTTATGTTTTGCATCATCCATTCACTTGGATTTTTCCCGTGTATCGCACATTTCTTTCACTTTCATCAGAAATGATGTTTCCTCTTCAATGATGTGAGTTTAGGCTCCATCATAAACTCTTTGATGGTTTCAAAATATGGTTGTTCTCTATCTGGAAGAATGATTGCCTTGCTGGGGGCCCGGAATGGGTTGAAATTTTGAAACCATCAAGCTTGAAAGTTTCAGAGCTGGAACCACATTGTTCAGTTTTGTAAACTACGCCGAAATTGTACAGCACCGAGATCTGTCAATTGCACAGCACCCATTTTTGATGGATCTTTGTTGGAGTTTTCGTCTATATAACCGTGTTTTTTTCGGGAAGGTTTTGGCCACAGTGCGAAACTCTGTGCAAAACTCTGATATTCACTAAAAATACAGTGCATGGTGAGCAAGTGTGTGTGTGTGTTTAGATCACCCAAACTTGATGGAATCTCTGACTCCCAAGACTTGCACGACCTCGATGTGAAGCGCGCCGTGAAAGCCGCTGGCCAAAGACGGCTGGTCCTGGCAACCGCACCGAGATTTAGATCTGGAAGCGCTGCGGGCTTCGACAGTGGATTCCACGTGATAGAGGGGTGAGAAGAGGCCTCGGTTCACCATTATTTAGCTTGAAATATGGGAAGAAGTTCACTCTTTCTTAGCCACTTGGGTTTTTGGTTGATTAGTTTGGAAGAAACTCATGAGTTTAGTGACCTTTATCAAGCCACTACAGCATATTGGGGATCATTTATGGTCCATTTCCAGGCCGGAGACAAAGTCATCAGGCTGAATGGGCCATACCGGCCCATCCATGGCGTTACCACGAGGATCCACTTGTATCCTATTAGAATGTCCATTCTATTCCGATGATATCCATTCGATATATACCCTGTGGTTGTTGAACATTGCGAAATAAATTGCCCATCGATTTATGATGATTTACTTATGAAAAATGATGTTTTATAGCTACGAAATAACCAGAGGGTACCATTCACATCCTGATTTGCCTCAAAGCTCCAATAACTCGACGCACGCAACGCCCCGGTGCCATTACGCTAACGGCCTCTGGATCCCTGTCGCCCTGATTTTTTGATGATGTTTGGGTGGTCCTGAGATTGTTGGAAGAA